TCGCATCATGCTAATGCGCTCCTGCTGTTGTGCTCGACAGATGTTCTGCGTGTCGGCACGGGTGTGTTTGTTGTAGGGGAGAGAGGGGCTGCCGTTTGACACCAGGCTCTCGGCCAGAAAGACTCCACTCCAGCTGACAGCTTTGACAACTCTCTACCTTCACTTTCAGAGGATGGAAGCCGGGGAAGAGCCACTCTCCATCCAGTTTAAGGGAGGGTAGGGGGGTTGGATGCCGCGGAAAACAAGGGAGAAGCGGTTTTGAGCTGAACAAACAAACACGGCTGATTGGACGGAGGCCGGATGGAAGATATGCTCTGACACCAAAATAAATACAGCGCACGGGCCTGTGTGAGTGTGTTCAGGGCAGATAGATGGATGGACCGATACCAGGCCCCTGGTTTACATCCAGGGTCTGAATGTTAACCAGGGCTTAACTGATTTATCCTCCGTTGAGGTCACGTCTGGAAGTAACGGCCCACTGCCTCAACAGAGTGTGGAGATACCGCTCTTTCATCGCCTCCTCAAAGCCCAGACAGTCCACTATCCACACCTCGGTTCAGTCTGGGCTTGATTGAATACGTGGAAAGACGATAAAAGGTGATAACTTGAGCTGAATTTACCCTCAGAGGGCAGTGTGAAGACGGAGGATCAACAGGGCCGCTGTTCCCTTCCAGCCTGAACAGATTTCCACCGTCTGTTCGCGTTAATGGCAAATTAAAACGATCGCTTTACCGAAAAAGTACCTCGGACGGTGCCGGTGTGATACAGGAGCTTCGCAGAATGTGGACAGAAAAGGGGGATTTGGAAAGTATGCGGGAGTAATGAGCATTTGAATGTATGAGTCGATAAATCAGCGGTCCGTGGAGAATCTGCTGGGGCCTCAGGACAGAGGTAAAACATCCAGCAGAACAATGGCCCTCTGTGTCCCGCTCCGCTACCTCAGCTCCCTCTGCCCCCCCCCCACCTCACCGACACACACTTCTCCAGCCAAAAGTACAAACCAGCTCCAGCTCATACTAATCTGTTTAGTTGTTTCTTTTACTTCTTAAAAAGAGATTAAACGCCGGTATAATGATCACTTACTGCTTCTCTGCTGTGCTTTGAATCCCAGCCCCCCCCCCCCCACCCTCTCACACGCTCCTCCGTGCGCTCATATCAAATTATTCATTTCTTCCTCTCATCTTTTCTTTCCTCCCACCTATCTCACCTCTTGTTTATTGATTCTCTAGATTAAGAATTCCTTGGCTGACGGATTGTAACACACAAGCATCAAATTATTTTGGGGTGTGCTTATTTGCCTTTCCCTTGCATCTATTTGGCCTGTGCCTGTAGACAATTATGCCTCCCCAGCCTCAGACTCAGGTGCTAATAATGAAGGACAAATAGAATCGTATGTGTAAACTTCACCCACTGATGAAAATTTATATTAACTTTCTACCACAGTAAACAGAGCTGCGTAGCTACACCGTCCCTGGAGGACTGACGAGATGAATTTGCTTGCTCCTTCCCCAGGAAGAAAGCCTGTGCGGGAGAGAGAGGAGTGCTGGTGGCAAAAAGGGGGGCTCGGAGGTGCCGTCCTCCATTGTGTTGTTCCCCCCTTCCAAACAAAACGCGGGTCTGTTTCCACCATCAAAGATCAGAAATACGAGCTGAGGAGTGTGTACGAGCCCATATGTGTGTGTCTGTGTGTGTGTTTGTGCTGAGAAGCTGACAGGCAGAGGCAGTAATAACAGAGACTGACCCCCCCATACCTCTGCTGTTATCGCCACTGATATTCTGAGCAAATACTCATCAGTTAAAGAAACAGGAACTTTTTCAGCTCCTCGTTTTTTTTCACACAGCAGACTAACATAGTGGGAGTTATGGTGATGTGCCTAAAAGTAGAAGCTGTGCACGGGGGAGGCCTCGCTGCGGCCCCCCCCGTGCTCCGGGACCAGCAACCCGAGCCTGTGTGCGACCCGGTCTGGGGGGGGGCGGCTGTTGCAGGTCAATAGTGTGAGTGTCTGTCTGTCTCGGCCTGCTGGGCTCAGGTTAAGCGTCCAGTCTAAGTGTTACCCCTCATCATGTGGTCGATGAGAGAGAAAGCCCCCCCCCCCCCCCCCCAGGCAGAGCTGCCTGTGAACCGGCCTCAGTCCCAGACTCTGCTTAACGTCCAGCCTGTCCAGGTGCGGCCAGCCTTTCATAACGTACCCCATCGGTTCTTAGTATCTCTTCCCCTAATTGCGTTGGTCTTATTTATTCCACTGGAGCAAACCAGGACAGACTTTAAAAATCTGTTGTTTCATGGGGGCTCGTTTTGGTGCCAGCAGGAGGCTGATGGATGGATCCCCATCGCTCCCTGTCACCCCCCCCCCATCCTCCCGCCAACTCTCGCCTTATGTAACACCTGCCTTTTTATCCTGTGCCCCTCCCTCTCTCCTTCCATCCACTCCATGTTGCACCTTTGTGGTTGTCGTGTGAATATTCCAATTACAGCTATGTGTGTTTGACCTTTAAGTGAGCAGGAGAAGATATAGTTATCTACCTTCCACTCTGACACCCAGCATCTGTCAATCAGCACCACCCCCCCCCAACGAGAGCCCTGACTGGGCCGGGCCCGGTGTTTGTGTGCGTGTGAGAGATGTGGAAGGCTACCAGGATACCAGGGTGAAGGTGGAAAAAAAAAAAAAAAAGCCTCGGGGAGTTCAAGTGAATGATGAAAAAAAGAAAGTGTACAAATACATAAGGTTAGAGCATGAATACACAAACGTATCCCACACATACACACAGAAGAAAGATGTTAAACAAGGTTTTCCATAATCTGCAGCCAGCCTGGCTGAACCTCACTTCCATAAACAAGGACTTCTCCCAGCAGCATCCTATATCATGCTTCTAAGAACAAGCAGGCGTGAGCAGAATCCCTCTTTTCTTCCATTCCTGCACCCGCCCTTTTCCAAAAGGCTAATCTACATCTTTCATTGAATCAAGAATGGAAATTCACAAGGAATGCTTCTTTTTCAATTTCATGCTGAAGTAGCTCAAGTTAGTGGATGTAATTTCTCCTAACAAGAAAATTTATCACTCTGTCGCACACTTAGTCCGGCTATGTGAGAAAAGGGGATTTTTTTTTTCTTAAGCTTTGATAAATGTGCCAAAAGCATGATCACTCCCTTCATAGCACTCCATACAAGGACAGAACAATTACAGTGGTTATAAAAAAAAACACAACTAAAAAGCTATGGTTGAAATTTGCATTAAAGTTAAATGATGTATAATTTAATACTGATATGAGGATGGAGGTTATTTCTAATGCATTGCAGAGATCTCACCATACAAGTTTAATGACATTATAAAAAACCCAAAAACAACACTTTGGAGAGGATTCCTCTCCTCACACATTTAAAACCTGAGTCAACAAAGAAGAATGTCCTCGCAGAAATTCGCAGGAAGTCTAACGATGCAAAAACTCCAACAAATCCATTTGAAGTTTTTGTGCAAATTGGAATTATCGTCTTGGCGGCGAATCGGTTGACGAAGTCCAAACAGGTGAATGCGCGGGGAGGAGTATCACAGAAACAATACCACGCATGGCCAAGCCACCTGCCTAATGTATATTTATCTTGTAAACTCCTGAAAAATGCATATGCAGAAACAATCAAATGTCGTGCTTTCTGATGTAGGATTTTTGCGCCACGGACTCAAGCGTGAAACCAATATCAGCTTAGTGTCTGCTGGAGCTTGAAGTGCTGCGCCCAGCTAACAAAAGCATGTTCTGCATATGCTCATGGGCTTCATTTTTATCAGGCTGGAACAAGCAGCTTTCCAGTGCTATCACTGATCAATTCGCAGCAGTTAAGTCCCCAGTGTGGGTAAATAAGCAGCGGTTAAGTCTTGATGAGGAATGGCGGGCTGTTTGAGTGGGAACATGAGCTGGCGAGAGGCGGGCCTGTCTATCTTTGCTACCACGAACCCCGAGTGTGCCTTCTATCATTAAGCTCACGCTGGAGAACATCTCATTCTCTGTATCAGACCAGAGATAACGTCCTCCTTTACTCTCCCGCGGGCGGCGTTTCCTCTCCGGACTCTCCACGTCGCGAGTTGTTTTCTGCAATTTCCCACTTTCCGATGGTTTTTGTAAACCCGGTAATGACACGGATGGCAGTCCACCAGTAAGAAGGACGCCCGATAAAAGCCAGCAGCTTCAGCTCTAAAGCTCTCAGTGAGGAGAGCCAAAGCCAGCCCTAAGTGACACGTCAGTCAGTTTGTCTGCTTGAAGCCTTCAATTCCCCACGGCCTCAGCTTATTTACTGCATTTGTATGAAAAGCTGCACAGACGAGGGGTTTGAGAGCCCGGCTGGCTCTCTTACATATGTATACGCTGTTTGGAGACAGTGCGTACAGTGATGTTACAGCCACCAACAACCGGGGAGAAGGCTACAACCATTTAAATCTTGAAAAATGGGTCAGGAACGAGGGTAATCACAGCAGCACGGAGTGTTACTGCATTAGAAAACTGTGATAATACCTGGAATCTGTTAGCAGAGGTTCAGGGCGCATTACAGAGAGGACGTCAGCGACATTAAAGATCCTACTTCGTCTTGCTAGTCCTCTTCTTAACCAGATTCCAAGTCATTTTAATATTAGTTAGAGAGCGAAAAGAGGGTATACACAACAAACCACCGGGCATACGTTTCAGAGTCTGATTTGTTACTATTCATGACTAAAGCAGAGAGAAACTGTAATACTAGACATGCTTGTTAAATTCACAACACTCCAAAGCTGCCTTCTAGCAAATCCTGTCTTTTGGTTGTCAGCTTAAGACACCCCGGCATATGCATATGTAGGATTTTTAAGCTCTGTTAAATGGATAGCGGTGTCGTGGCCTATCAAATGACTATAAGCCACTTGCCTTTTTTTTTTTTTTTTTTTAGGGGGGGAGCATTTACAGAGAGAGCAAGCAGCAACACATCACCAGCTCTGTATCAGAAAACACTCCAGTTACGTTCACATTAAAGGGAAAACAGGCGTTTACGTGTGTGTATTCAGTGTGTGTGTGACACTCTCACTCCACCCCACTACATTAATGAGTGTTTAAGCCCATGACAGGGGAGTGGCAACAAACAATGACAGAATGCCTGTTTTCGATTGTGAGGCGGCTAAAGATGATGCACCATTCAACACCAAAGTAAATTATTGTACTCAAACGATGGCTCAGCCCTCTGAGAGAATGCACCGACTGCGTGTGTGTGTATCTGTGTGTGTCTGCGTGTGTCTGTGTGTGTCTGCGTGGTCGCGGCCGTGTTTGTGCCTGTGTGAATGGACTTATAGATCCAGTGCCATTTATTTCCTGGAGCTGGACCGGGGCAGTTAGGGAGGCGTAAAAGGAAATGAGTTGTGAAGTGGCCATTGATCCCGGCCCGGGCCGACTTTGTGTGTGAGTCTGCGGGACTATTGGCTGCAGTGTGTGCAACTCAATGACTGCGTCTTATTTACACAGAGCCGGTTAACCCTGACCGGGCCATTTATCACTGGACCGCTGCTCTGCACAGCACAAAAGGAGGAAAAAGAGACCAGAAAGTGGCAGGTCAAACAGCAGGTGGAGCCCAATGCATGGATGCACTTATTGTCCCCATTAAAGTACCACATCTAGATTTGATGTGGCTCCTGTAGCACCTTTTTAATCGGTACTTTCTGTCTTTTTAAGCCGGGATGTGCCCAGTCTGGTGCTTTTTTCCACCTGTGCTGCCTTTGACCTGTACAGTACACCGGTCTCACTTGGCCACAGCTCGGGGATAAAACGCCCATAAGTGTTCGTTTCCAGCAGATTTCCCTCCGTCTCTCATCCTCTACTCACAATTCCTCCATCGCTCCCTCTCCCGCTCGCTCCCCGTCCCCTTTCTCCTCGTGTCTCTTTCAAGCCTTGCAGCTTGACATTTCGCCGCGCTCTCGGGGGACGCCGCTGCGAAATGGAGTTACTGGGAGAGCGCCACTGTAAATTTCAGAAGGCCACATGTAATGTGTCTTAAACATAGATGGACAGCCCGGGTTTCAAGGAGCCGAAGAATGGAAAAAGTGGGAGTGGAGGGAGAGCAGGAGGACGAGCTGGTGTCTCGATAGATAATAGAATAATACTGTGTTTTGTCTGGGGAAGAGTGAACAAACAGTAGCTATGCTGTCATTCACATCCTATATCTTTAGTGTCATCACAAAGGGGGGAACTACAGGCCTATATGTCACAAGCCTGCATGTACTATTCTGTGGAGACTGTCTGCTGATAGCCAGGCTGGATATAAAAAGAAAGATGGCTTTCATTGTAAATAAGTCAGACACAAGGATTGCCAGCGAAGAGCCCCCTTTTCACTGAAAGGGGAAATAATTTTACAAAGACATACAGTCCACCCAGCTTTCCTAATGCCTCTCCTGCCTTCACAGAGAAACCTTATCTTGGCACAGACGATGATGTTTAACAAAGGGCTCCTTTATGAAATCGTTCATTTCTCAGCTGAGGTCTTTCTGCTGTCCTGAGAGGTGATTGATGCATCAGGCCAGGGCCAGTGTCTTATTTACACAGTTGAGTGGGGCAATCTCAGGCCTGAAAGATAAACCTAATGAGCTTCTTTGTGTAAGGGTGCAAATGAGAGACACCATCCTCCCACCCTCCTTCCCTGCTCCATCCAAAGGGACAGTCTGGGTGATTAGGCCTTTAAATTATGCTCAAGGGCAAAGCCCAGATTTGCATCTAAGGTGTGTGTGTGTGTGTGTGTGTGTGTGCGGCTCCTCAAATATGGCACAAAGAGCCAGGCGGAGAGGCAGGTGAAGGGCAGACACAGAGAGATGCTTCAGGCTTGTTTGTGGAAAGTGATGTTGGGTGAGAACTGTGTCAGTATTTTAGAGGGAGCGCACACCTACCCGGTGTACATTAAACAACAAGCTCGAGTTGTTGTAAGAGGAAGAGGAGCTCATATGCATGTCAAACGGATGTGCATATGCATACACACACACACACACACTATTTTTGTCCTTTGTCTGTGGGGTAAGTTTCTCCCTAATGACTTTCATTTTGGGGAGAATTTCATTTGCCCCTAAACCCTAAATACTACCCATCACTTGCTGTCAGACTTCTCATCCCTTCTATTTCCTCCAGCTAAACAGCTGAGAAGGCAGGTTAATTGCTGTCACTCTCAAGTTGGACCACTGCCTTCCACCCGTGCAGCGACGGGGGGAACTGGAAGTAAGATGGCACCTTGGTGCACTTATTGCAATTCGTGTCAAAATTGTTTCAGTCATTTGAATAAGGATGGGTAGTTTGCATTTCGCTACATTGTGTATGTAACCTGCAATTTGAGCTGCACCTTTAGGCAAAATCCAAATATTTAACCCAACAAACAAGAAGACAACAGCTCTTAACCTCCCAGCTATGCTCTGATTAATGAGTGAGTCTTTGAGGGCAGGGGCCTCCTTTAGCATGGGGCTGTGACTACAGCTTTCCAGAGGTCTTTGGTTAAAACAACTGTCTTGACCATAATAGATTAGCCGGGGCTTCCATCTTGCTCTGAATATCAATAAACTTCCTATGCTAGCGAGGCCATTTAGAAGGGGAAGCAGTGTAGAGTATTGGCTCATCAATCCCACTGATAACCCTGGCAGGATTAAGTCCAGAGACCACTGTAATCAACTAACAGGCTCATTATGGGACATTATGGTATGGATCCAAAGATCAATGCGTTCCTTCCATGTACATACACACAGCAAAAAGCATTAAAACAATACTCTCACTATGGCCAATGACAAATTGGCTGGTAACATGAGCTCAGCACATTTTTTTGGGCATCTTTTTAAAACCAGAGCTTTTCCCAGTGATCACTTTACATTGTAATCAGGGCTGTGTAACATTCATCATTTGCTCTGATTCATATCTGCAGCTGGCAAATTGCAATCAGATACAGTGGGGATCTAATCTGTGATCTCAAATCAAATTAGGTCTATTTAGACAACCTCGGGAATGTGGTGATGAAACCCTGACAGAAATTAAGGGCTGGAAATTTAATTGTGACATTGGTTATTATTCAGACGCACGGTTAACGGAGTGTGCCGCTTTGATTCAGCCAAAATAAGAAAATAAAAGAGGTAGTACTGGGTACTAGCTGAGCGATTCAGGAAAAATGGCAGCCATTAATATTTGAACATACAAAGATAATGTGTGTAACTTAGTCCTGATCTGTGTTCTTGGAGCCTTTGGCCGAATCTAAGGTGACGAGACCTTAAGATGCTGCTTTTTCTAATTATAGCTGCGGGTGGTATTTTGGAGCTGCTAGGTAATAGCAGAACCCATAGGGACGGTGGAGAATTCATCAGTGCTTATTATTAATCATCCCCCCAGCAGCGTGATGAGAGACTGGAGCCTCTATACCCAGCGGACCACTCAATGTCATTCCAAATATGGATGAAAAATTAAACCCAACAGCCGGACTCAGAAAAAATGCATAAAGTTTTTTTTTTCCTTTAAAAAAAAATCTTTTAAATAGCAGCGCAGAGTTGTAAGTTCAAATAGTGTGAATGCACATGGGTGCGTGCATACGTGACCAGAAAACATCCAGACTTCACACACACCTGCGAGCTGTCATTCAGCACACCTGACAACCCCACAATCAACCACCCCCCCCACCCTGGAGAACACATCTGCACCAGAGTGCTGACAAATAAATGTATTAAAAGTGTTCTGTCTCCAAAGAGATGCAGAGTGAATGAGAACAGGAAGTGTGTGTGAAGTTAGCAGCACAGGGCCCCAGTTTTAAAAAGCCTCCAGAGACCTGTTAGCCGGACTCCTCATTTCAATGTGTCTGTCTCGGGCTGGGAGAAGGCTCGGGCTGGCCTCTTTACAAGGCACGCGCTGTCAGATCCCCCCCCCCCCCGCCCCCACCCGACGCCACGGCTCTCCTCCGACCATCTCAGAGACTTAACAAGACGCTTTATGCTTACCGCGCTTTTTTCTCTAAGAGCTGCGGCCTCCTCTGAAAAGTTTAGCAGGACCGTCTCTTTGTTTGGTTCACTGATGGAAAATGTTCCCATTTTCCGTTTTTATCTCCACAATTGTAAATCATTCTGTAAATTTCCCTTGTAATTCAACTCAAACCCACTTGTTAGCAATTTTTTAGCAATTTTAACTGTGATTAAATGGTTTTAAATACAATTAGAGAATACATAGGAGCATCTTTTGAACTCTTTTTACTTAAATCTTATTTAAAAAATTACTTTTTTGTGTCTTTGGGAAATGTCCTGCTGTGGCACCAGTAGTGTGAGGCCTGATGGGATTTTTTTTAGGCCTCTTTTTATCTCTCTACCATCTCGTCCCATTTCACCTTCTATCTGTTGGGGGCATTGGCACAGAAAGGAGGCCGTTCCGGACAACATTTTCAAATGTAAAAGAGTGATGACTTCGAGCAGGAGAGAATTGACCCCAATCAGATGTGTGTGTGTGTGTCTGTCCCTGTGTGTGTGTGTGTGTGTGTGTGTGTGTGGAGCTGCGGTGGTGATGAATCGGCGGCTGAGGCCGCGGCGATGCGGCCACCGGCAGGACAGCAGGGATTCTGCTGTGGATGGATGACGGGTGCAAAGGGGGGAGGGAATGGGATGGCATGGGGGGGGGGGCCGGGGGACGTGCTTCTTTTGCTACACCGAGCACCACAAAAAACACGCACACACTCACACGGGCGTCTATTGTGTTCCCCTGACTGACCTGACCACGGGGCTTCAGCTGCCTTCCACACACACACACACACACACACACGCTCGCATGAAAGCGCCCACCGGGCCAAAAGGACAGCGCGCATCATTGGGAGCCCACGGCGGTGGCCCCCACCCGCCCCGCAGCACGGCCCTCTGACCCAGTCTCCCACTGCTCTTTTGGCTAACTGTCAAAGCCATCATTCACCGTGAAAAGACACGAGAGACACTTGACTCCTTTACTCTGCCGGCGACTGACTTTCACAACTCCTGCACACACCCCCCAACCCCCACGACCACCAACTCCCACCCCCCCCAGGTCGCTCACCCACAACTTGCTCTGCCTGAGATGATTACAAGGAAACAAAGCATCAAACGTCTGTGATCTCCAAAGGAATTCACCACAATTAGAGAGGCGAGTGATTAAAGTCATCGACTGGGCATTAAAAGTCAACATTTTCTGTCGAGAGAAAACTGAAACACTGAGTACAAGTTGCTTTTTTCGAACGGAGTCTCGGGCACAGAGTTGTCTGCTGCTGGTGGGTCCGTGTGTGTGTGTGTGTGTGTGTGAGAGAGAGTGTGTGTGAGCCTCTAACTAGTGCCGACTTAGGAGGCCCTCTGGTGGATACAGAGCTGCCATAACACACACACACACACGGTCACACACTGCCCACACTGGACTTTGCCATGCTGCCACGCCGCCCTTCCTCTTCCTCTGTCTCACACACACACACACACACTCTCCTCTCTCACACACTCACAGCAGAGATCCGCAAAGCCGGCACTAACACAAACGGGGACTCTGAAGAAAAAACTTCCAAACGTCTGCAGCAAAAAAAGACAGCTGACAGGGGTGGGGGGAAGCTATTTACCAACAAGCGCAAACATGTTCTCCCAACCAGCCACCCCCAAAAAACACACACACAGGCGCACACACACACACGCAACGCTCTGACGGCGCCGTCAGCTCCCCGGCGCCGGCTGAGCGGAGGGAGCCCAGCAGAGCAGAGAGGGAGAGCGGAGCGGAGCGTGAGGGAGGGAGAGCGGCAGAGAGACGAGACGGGGGGGAGAAACACAACTTACCTGCTGTTGTTGCAGATGCAGCAGCTCGACTGTGCTTACTTCGCTGCTTGTGTCACCAGCGCTTGATCTCCCATCTCTACTGCCAGCCTCTAATTGGCTGCTGCTTAGGGTGCTCATTCCATTTTGACTCATTGAACTGTTGCTTATTGTCTCTGTGGCCGACTCCTGCATCATCATGATTTAAAACCTAGAAGTGATTAAGAGGCACCGGTTAGGGCTCTTCTTGTTACAATTCCCCCCTTTTTTTGCCTCCTATTTTTTTTTTTTCTTTCTTTCTTTGCACGCTTCCATTATCAAGCCCTCAGTCCCCCTCTGCAAATTAAAGCATTTAAAGTAGAGGGAGGGGGATGAGGGGGGACAGAAGGGGGGATGCAGGAGGAGCAATTATGCATTCATTGTGTAAATGAAGCAATACAAAGAGATGCATGAACTGGTGCTTATTTTTAAATGGGAAGGATGTTTAGAAATATGTTTATATCTTTATAGATTTGCAGCTCAATAATAAAAATGCCTGATTATTAAATATATTTTGTAGTGGTCGCATCTTTAGCAAATAATGAAATACATTTTTAGGAGAAAAGAAGCAAATATGTGATCCCATGTGTTTAATTCTTGATTTCCTCTGTGCAGGGCAGAGAGAAACACAGAAGCAAAGCCACTCCTAAAATATTGTCCCTCTCAAAGCTGTCACATTTTTAGTCCGTTTCTGCCTCTGAAAGAAGTTGCCTAATGACGCAAAGCTAATCATGCAAAATTAAAATTTGGTGGCGGGGAGGAGGAGGAGGAAGAGGAGGAGGCGGCTCCAAATCACATGGTGCAGGGCTGGTGAAGAACACTATAATAGGTTTGTCATTCTTTCTGTGGCTAAATAAAACCTGCCTCGCAGGCTTCCATAGAGGAAAGATACTCGTATGTCATTTACTGGCCAGAAATCTCTTTTATTCCTCACTTGTTTTATGACTTTTTAAAAAAAATCACCATCATTCAACGAAATGCAAATAAACCGAATTCCGAGCTGTAAAATTCAAACTTCCAGCCAGGAGAATCACAAGCCAAAATGAAATACTTCAAAATAAATGCAAAAAAACTGAGTTAATTCTGTTACCTTTTTATATGGAAAACTGGGAAAAATGGGAGGGAAAAAAAGGGGGAAAATTCTAAGCCGAATCTCACTAATGATTGTGCTAAAAACAGCATAAATTATGCATATAACCTCCTCTCTTTCCAGTAATAAATGTTTTATCATTATCCCCTACATTTAATGCTCTGTACCTTCGCTGGGCGGAGACGAGCCCTAACAGCATCAGTCGACACACTCAGAATAAATAAAAGACAGACTGCAACTCAGACTGCACGCCGCAATTAAGGATGGAAAATATTCTCCATTTTTTAAAATATCTGACATGACAAAGAAAGAAAAGGATTTTTTTTTAAACTGCAAATGAAGTTCTTAAAAAACTCTGACACATGCAAACATTTCAAATCACATATTTCAACAGCAGGTTTTAACCAATTTTAAAAAAACATGCATTTTTATACTCAGTTTTCCAATTTGCCAGAGCAAACCAGCACCACAGAACAAATAAACCTGCAACTACACCGGGATGAATGCTGATTGTGTGTGGATGTATTTTTGTGTGCATTTGAGCCCAGTCCACATGGGTGCCGTGTGGACTCTTCGGCCTGTAAATACCATTTTAATAGAAGTGTGTACACGTTGGTCGCCGTGTTTGTGTGTGCTTGTGTGTGTGTGTGTGTGTTTGACGAGGGGCAGATACAGGACAGGCCTTAAAGGATGTCCACAGCCAGGATAAACAGGATCCAGGCAGGGAGAACAAACAGGGCTGAGCTATTACACAGAGCAGGGCGACAGCTGCCCGGGACACAAGTAAATAGGAAAGAGGCCAGGACAAGGCGTGCTTGTGAACAAACAGGCCCCTGTTTAACACCCGGCCGCCGGCCGCTGATGGACGGAGACGCGGTGAGAAAAAACAGAGGGCAGAGTCGCACAGGAGAGAGGACAGAGGTGGAGATGACGGGGGGAAAGACAGCGGGAGAGGATAGGAGAGTGAAAGAAAGAGGAGAGGAAATGGGAGGGAGAAAGGTGGCGGCGGTGGCAGTGGGAGGGTTGGGGGGGGGGGCGACTGGCACAATGTGACATCCAATCCGGTGATGAATCTCAGCAGAAGAAACTCAAGGCTGCAGCCGAGATCAGCCGGCTAATAAGTATTCAAATTAGGCATAAATTTTACATGCCCGATGTTTAAAATATTCAGAGAAAGACTGTCTGATTGCCTTTGCTACGATTTTATGAACATTCTAATAGAGCTTGGATCTTTCTTTTTTCTGCTTTCTCACTCGGACCGGCGACGGATGTTCGGAAAACTTGAAGATATATGAGATAAGGAAATAAGGCTTTTTAATAACACGTGAAGGCGCTCCGCCGCAGAAAGCTAAAGAAAACCGCTTCATTATTATTAACAAAGCAATAGAATCCTTCACGTGATTACGTATGTATGGAAAGTTAATGTGTGCGAAGAAAAAGGGAATAAAATACATATTTTTTTTCAAATGAAGAGATCAGACAGAATTAGCGTGAATTAAAAACGCAAATAATCTCGGCCGCCGTAATCCCTCCTCTTTGCCACAAAAACACAATCTGTGCCGCGTGTCAAGCTGCAGCGTGATGATAATGCAGATATATGCAAAGTGTATTCGCAGAGATCAGATGGTGCTTTAACCTTAATGACAGCGGTGAGATAAATTAATTAGCCATCTAAAGGCGCCATTCAAATCTGCCAATTAGAATGTCAATTAGAAACACGGAGAGGAGAGGAGCGGCGGCCGGGCGGCGGCTCTGGCGGTGTGGGGGGGGGGGTGACGGGACTGTCATCCCCTCAGAGACCCACACTCTCACAATCCTCCAGAGGGACACATAGTGACAATACTCCGCACCCGAGGGTGCGACTGAGTCTGGTGTGTGCTGCCCACCACGGGTCCTCTGGTGCCACGCCCCCCGGGGGTACAGACCCTGACCCCCACATCAGCCAGTGCTCAACCCACTGGGCTGGAAAGAGGTCTCTGGCTGAGGTCCACACGTGATGCCATTCCTCCCACAGAGGGAAGCTGGAGCCCCACGTATCGCGCCGTTATTACCTGGTAACACGCTTGTAATTGTGCAGACCTGTTTCCCCAGTCAGGGCCTATGATGGGGAAACCAGACGTAAGGGTCCAGGCAGCTTCCCCCTGTTCAAACTTACTGTTGCTACGATAAAACCGCGGCCTCCACCACTCTATAAAGGAGCGCCATTTTCAGAGAAAGGCAGCTCGGGATGAAGTTTATTTAAAAAGGCCTCAAATCAACACGGCGCGAGCAGTACTTTCTATTCCTCTTGAGCTGGGACAAATATTTACTCCTCATCCTTCCATCAGAATCCCAGAAAAAAAGGGGCCGGGAGAGGCATTTGGCCCCCGCTCCGGGAGAATTTTTTCCCCCTTTCTTCCGAGAAGTGATACAACAAAGGTGTGAAGAAAATTGAGCCTTTGGTTGCCTCGCAGACACACTCTGGCTCTCGCACACACACACACCGACACCCACACACACACACACCTATCATTAAAGGGGGAAAGAAGCAGCCCTCCATCTTTGTTTGCGAGCTCTAAAAGCCCTTAATGTAGCCTCATTACCTGGCCTGTCTCCCGCTCTATCATGTGCAGTAAACACACTCTATGACACTGGCCATCCATCTCGGGGGGGGAACACACAGCTGTCGGCTGTGCACCAACACTGTTTCGGGAACAGAGGAATTTAAACGAACAACACAGTGGACTGTTAACACCGGCCTCGACCGGGAGTTATCCATTTTCCCCGAGTGAGGACGTTCTCCACCGTGTCCCTGTCCGAAACACTCATCCATCCCCTCATTCTATATGCATGAGTTGCAAAAAATATTAGCGTTAAGATGACACAAAGGGGGGAAAAAATAGGGGGGGGAGGTGGGTGACCGCCAAAGCTGTGATCCCAGTCGAACGTTCATTATCAACTCACTTTTCAGGTGGCTGCTAGGAGTTCTCTCTTGGTTTGTGAGATCAAAATAGAAAAAAAATAATAATAAAAGAAATTACATTTCACAGTCTGCTGAGTCCTCACAGCTCTCTGATCAGGTCGGGATATGGTTACCATTTGAAATAATCACAGATTCTGTGCTTGAGTGAAATTAATTCATCATTGCCATACGTTACTATGCACACAAAATAAAGAAGTAACTGCGCAGGGGCAACAGCTCGCCTGTTCAATACTTAAGATTGCTTAATAAATCAAAATGGCATGGAAGTGTTTAAAAAAAAAAAAAAAAAACGGGGCTTAAAAAAAAAAAAGAAATTTGAAGCCCTGTTTTAAGGACAAAATTTAGTCCAAAGGCCAAACAATTCCGTGGAAAAATGTGTGAAATGACAGAATCAAAATGGAAGATATACTGTAAATGTATGCTCTCAACAAATCTTTGATTATAATAATTTGTTTCTGAGGGGGGGTAGTGTCTTTTTTTTTAATTTGTGGTGGTGGTAAGCTGTCATTGAACAGGGGCACCACCAGTAATTCATTACAGGCCAGCGCCTCATGCAGGGAGTTTGGAGTTGGAAATGGAAAAACGACCACTGGGAAAGCTGTGTTTGACAAAACCCAGTCTCCTGGATTAAGTAAGGCAAGCCCGGCTGCTGTGCCTTAGAATTAAAAGCTTTAATGACTACTTCTTATAAACCTGTGTATGGTAATGGTTTCTGCTCGCTGATAGAGGAATTTCAAAAGTGCTTCACCGGTGAATAAAGATTGCTTTGGAAGAAAAAAGCGGCTGAAGAAATCATATTTACAAAATCAGGAGTGGGGCCAAATGAAAAGAGATGAAAGTGAATAATGGACTTTGCTTTTTTGTAGGATTAACATTATTCAAAGCAACAGAATCAAATGTGGTTATCTCCTGTCCAATGAGCCCTACACTGACAAAACCTCAGTCATATTTCAATTCCTCATTTGAGCCGACAATAAATTGTAGTTCTGTGATAGGAGACATTCAGTAAAGAATGTTCAGAACTTAATTCTCTTCTATTTACAATAAGGAGATGAGGCAGAATAAGATAAAAGACAGACTATTTGCCACAGTGTGCACGTGTCCATGAAT